GCCATTTTGTGTCAAGAAAGGTACGCTGGCAAGGTGGGATCCCGCGTCTTTCTTGCTCTCCGCAGATGAGGGGAGTAGTGGTGCTCCTGGATCACAGAGGCGGCAGCACTTACGGCAGGTCTCTCAACCCCACCCCGCAGGCCCCCAGTTTGCCTCAGAGCCTCCCAGAGGCCTGGGCTGGGGGTGGGAGCACAGATGATTGACAAGGGGTGCTGTTGGGTACCTGGACTCCAAGCCCAATCTCTCCAAAGGTGTAGAGATGCAGGGTAGACTCCAGGGAGGTTTTCTTCCGGGTGTGAAAACCCTCCGACCTCCACCGGTGATTTTTTTTGAAAGCCCCCTGAAGGTCTACAACTGCAACCCTAGTGGGAGAAGTGACCACTAGGGCCTGAAGCCTGCACAGCCATATTTATCCCCTCCCCCTTTGTGACCTGTCACTGTCACATTCCCCTTTGTCCCATCCTCTAGCTGCCCTGCAAGAGGACAGGGCTGCAGGTAGATGCCAAAATGAAAATATTTCAAACGGGACAATTGTATATGAGTGTTTCTTTCTTTAGCCCAAAGCCTGTGGGAGTTCAAGGGACAGGTAGATTTGAAAGGTCAGAGCTTTTGGTGCCGTTTTATTGAATAACCTGAATGCTGGTATTGATTCTTCCACAAAAACTAAATGTTGATGGTGGTAATCTTTCATGGTAGCTCTGGCCTTCACTAATTAAGATAAAATTAATTCTTACTAGCGCTGTACTATATATGACATTGTCACAAATTACTGGAAGACCCACTGAGGTGTACTATTGCTACTGTTCTTATTTCATAGGGTAAAGAAACCAAATGTCAATCACCTGCATCCACAAACGATACTGTTTGAATCCAGGTCTCGCTGGGCCAGTTAAAGGTTTCCAAACTGATTTATTTTTACTACATCGAGGGAAGCTGTGTTTTGTGTGTGTGTGTGTGTGAGAGAGAGAGAGAGAGAGATGTGTGTGTGTGTGTGAGAGATGTGTGTGTGAGAGAGATGTGTGTGTGAGAGATGTGTGTGTGTGAGAGAGATGTGTGTGTGAGAGAGAGATGTATGTGTGTGAGAGAGATGTGTGTGAGAGAGAGATGTGTGTGAGAGATGTGTGTGTGAGAGAGATGTGTGTGTGAGAGAGAGATATGTATGTGTGTGAGAGAGATGTGTGTGTGAGAGAGATGTGTGTGTGTGAGAGAGATGTGTGTGAGAGATGTGTGTGTGAGAGAGATGTGTGTGAGAGAGATATGTATGTGTGTGAGAGAGATGTGTGTGTGAGAGAGATGTGTGTGTGTGAGAGAGATGTGTATGTGTGTGAGAGAGGTGTGTGTGTGTGAGAGAGATGTGTGTGAGAGAGATGTGTGTGTGAGAGAGATGTGTGTGAGAGATGTGTGTGTGAGAGAGATGTGTGTGAGAGAGATATGTATGTGTGTGAGAGAGATGTGTGTGTGAGAGATGTGTGTGTGTGAGAGAGGTGTGTGTGTGTGAGAGAGATGTGTGTGTGAGAGATGTGTGTGTGAGAGAGATGTGTGTGTGAAAGATGTGTGTGTGAGAGATGTGTGTGTGAGAGATGTGTGTGTGTGAGAGATGTGTGTGTGTGAGAGAGATGTGTGTGTGTGAGAGAGATGTGTGTGTGAGAGATGTGTGTGTGAGAGAGAGATGTGTGTGAGAGATGTGTGTGTGAGAGAGAGATGTGTGTGTGAGAGATGTGTGTGTGTGAGAGAGATGTGTGTGTGAGAGAGAGATATGTATGTGTGTGAGAGAGATGTGTGTGTGAGAGAGATGTGTGTGTGAGAGAGAGGTGTGTGTGTGAGAGAGATGTGTGTGTGAGAGAGAGATGTGTGTGTGAGAGAGATGTGTGTGTGTGAGAGAGGTGTGTGTGTGAGAGAGAGATGTGTGTGTGTGAGAGATGTGTGTGTGAGAGAGATGTGTGTGTGAAAGATGTGTGTGTGAGAGATGTGTGTGTGAGAGATGTGTGTGTGTGAGAGATGTGTGTGTGTGAGAGAGAGGTGTGTGTGTGAGAGAGATGTGTGTGTGAGAGATGTGTGTGTGAGAGAGAGATGTGTGTGTGAGAGATGTGTGTGTGAGAGAGAGATGTGTGTGTGAGAGATGTGTGTGTGTGAGAGAGATGTGTGTGTGAGAGAGAGATATGTATGTGTGTGAGAGAGATGTGTGTGTGAGAGAGATGTGTGTGTGTGAGAGAGATGTGTGTGTGAGAGAGAGGTGTGTGTGTGAGAGAGATGTGTGTGTGAGAGAGAGATGTGTGTGTGAGAGAGATGTGTGTGTGAGAGAGAGATGTGTGTATGAGAGAGATGTGTGTGTGAGAGAGATGTGTGTGTGAGAGAGATGTGTGTGAGAGATATGTATGTGTGTGTGAGATATGTGTATGTGTAAGAGAGATGTGTGTGTGAGAGAGAGATGTGTGTGTGAGAGAGATGTGTGTGTGAGAGAGAGATGTGTGTGTGAGAGAGATGTGTGTGAGAGATATGTATGTGTGTGTGAGATATGTGTATGTGTAAGAGAGATGTGTGTGTGAGAGAGATGTGTGTGTGTGAGAGCGAGGTGTGTGTGTGAGTGAGAGAGAGAGAGAGAAAGAGAGAGAAAGAGAGAAAGAGAGAGAGAGAGATGGAGGACCACTTGAGACATCGGGTGGGCTGAGGTAAATTACCCAGTGGTTTCCCCTTTTGTTTTTGTAGGGGGGGCATTTAATCTCTTATGGACCAACTTTTCCACACTGTGCTCAGTGAAATGAACCATATAGGGGTGGAGAATAGGAAACAGAAGTCCTTGAATTCCAAGAGAGCATCCAAGTCCCCCCACCCCCTAACAGCCCTGCTGTTGGGGAGAGCTTTGGAAATCTGTTTACATCTATCACCATGACTCTGCCTATTGCCACACCCACATAACTAGCCAGACTCAGGATTTCCAAACTTGTCACTTGGACCCTTACTCCAGACATTCATCCATCCCTTAAGGGCAAAGGTTATCTACCACACACACCTGGCTATTAACTGATAAATGGATGAGCAAAATACAGATTCTCGTACAATACACTGTTACTCAGCTGTGAACAGGGATGGAATGTTGATTAGTACCTCAGCATGGGTGGACCTTGGCACTTTACTACGTGAAGGAAGCTAGACACAAAAGGCCACAGGACAGGCAAGCCTGAAGGACACTTGAATAGTTTGCCAAGTGCTGGAGGTGGGACCTGGGGAAGGGACTGCTCCATGGGTGCCAGTCAGTAGTAGCTACACAGTGCCATGCATGTGCTCAAAGCATTTGCATGCTAAATATTGTGACTTAAGTTTTTCCATTCATACACATAACACATACACCCTTAGAACACTTGTTCAAAACCTTGGTGGTTTTAAAAAGTGTAGCCTTCAATCTTAGGTAAATTGGGGGACTTTGATCAGCTTTGGCATCCCCTACTTCCTCACATGTGGAACTCAGCAGTGCTTTTAAGGACTGGGAATGTCCCCAAAGCCCCTGAGTTAAAGGCACTAGGAGTACCTGAGCTGTTGGGAGGAAGGACCCTCTGGGAGGTCTTGTGTCATTGAGGCTGTGCCTGCCTTAAGGAAGGAAGATCTCAGGACCCCTACTCTCCCCTTCTCTTCCACTCTTCGCTTGCTGCTCACCACATACTTCCCACCAGGGTTTGCTGCATTCACACAGGCCAGAGGAACAAGAGGAAACCATCATGAACTGACACTTTGACACTGTGGACCAAAACACTTTCTTCTCAGTTTTCCGTGCATGTGTGTGTGAGTAGTGTTTATACATGTACATGTGGTGGCCCAGGGTCAGTTTTCTCAGAGGCGCCCAGATCCGAAGACATGCTGCTCTGGCTGGCCTGCTTGCTCTGGGGGATGCCCCATCTCTGTCTTTTAAATCTAAAACCACAAGCAGGTCACTGTGTCCATCTGGTGCTTATGCGGTTTCTGAACTCAGGTCCTTACACTCATGTGGCAAGAACTTGAACCACTAAGCCATCTTCCTGGCTCTGTTTTTCTCTTAAAAAATATTTTATTATATTCATGTTTTGTGTGTGTGTGTGTGTGTGTGTGTGTGTGTGTGTTTGTGTGGTTGGGGTGGGTGGGGGCATGTACACATCACAGTGACATGTGGACACAGGATAACTTGTAAGGAGTTCAGTCTCTCAGGTCATCAGACTTGGCAGCAAGAGCCTTCACTCACTGAGCCATCTTACCAGCCCATGTTTCTTTTTTTGTTTATGGCAGGTCTTTTGTTATAGGTAGCTAACACATGGGATAATGCATGAAATGTCTAGCCTATTTTCCTAGTCAGTGATTATTAGCTGTGATTAGCATTCACCCTCACCCATGCTTTGCAGCTCAGTGTGAATTTCTTCAAAAGTACACTCGATGTTTTGAGAAAAGATCTCACCATGCAGCCCTGGCTGGCCTGGGCCTCACTACGTAGACTAGGCTAGGCTTGACCAGAGACCCACCAGGCAGGTACCACCTAGCTTGACCCCCAACAGCAATTTTGGTGAGACCAGAGGCTTCTGGAGTTTAGAGTCACAACCCCAGAAGAAGAAATGCTTAGTGCATAAAGACTGAGGACCAGGGTTAGAAGTCATCTGCCTGGGCTAGGTCTCTATGGGCAACTGTGCGCATGTACACCCCCCCTACACAAACATACATGCATACGCATACTTAAATTGAACTGGAGAGACAGCAGTTAACAGCATTCAGTGCTCTTGGAAAGGATCTGGCCTCCGTTCCTAGCACCTACATGGTGGCTCACAACCCTCTCCAACCCTCTTCTGGCCTCCTCAGGCAATGCATGCATGTGGAGCACAGACATACATGCAGACTGAACACCCATACACATAAAACATACTCTAAGTGCCCTACCTAGTATTCTCCCCATGAACAAAGGAAGCTGTCCCCAAATATGCAACGCTAATCACACCATAATAGAAAGGCAGAGTCGTTATTTCAACAGACTTAGTAGAAACCACTTAAGTTTACCATGTCTTATTCTGATATTTATTATGTTGACAGTCTAGGAATACTGGGATAAATAATTAATATTTTCTCTCACAGAAAATTGTAATGATACTATTGAGTAAGATTAAACACTCTGAGGATTTCACAGAAACATCAGAATTTTAACAGTAGCCAGAGTCCTGGTAGTCAGAGGGAGGTGCCTCCCAGTTGAAATGCTCTGGGCCATCTCAATAACAAAACAATGCCATTAACATCCCACAGTGCAGAAGCCTAGCCCTGCACAGGGCTTCAAACACACTTCTCCACAGGCTGTGGTTTCTGGCTGTGATGAAAGGAAAATGAAGTATCTCTGGCCCTTCTAGCTTAGAAATCACACCTGTCCTGTCACTGCCTGGGAAGGAGAGTCCTACACTTTGGAAGTTGGACTTCCTTTGTGCCTTCTTTCTGTGACATTGCAACAGTTTGCAGCCAATGACCTGCTGTGGTGCCCAGGTTCTTCCTCAGCAGTGGGCACAGGGAAAGGAGGCATCACTCCTGGGGGCAGGCAAGCTCACATGGCCACCCAAATGCTTCTGAGGGACTCCCAAACTCTCAGAAATCAGTTCTGATGAAACTCCTGGGAAAATCAGACAATCATCCAGAGAGCACAACACCTGGCTCTGAATTGAGTGCCCTGTGCACAGTCATTCTGGGACGTAACAGCGAATTTTCTAGAAGCACACCCTGGCCATTGGACAGCCTCAATAATGAGTGTTCTTGCTCCATATTCCCTGGGAGGGATGATGTCAGCTACGGCAGAGGCCATGGTCCCACCCCACATACCAAGGTGGACACTTCTGCATGAATCCCATTAGTGGGTATCCTGCTTTGCATGGGATCCCAGCCAGGGGCCAGCTAGATCATCAGAGAATGGCCAGGATGGTAAGGCCTAAATCCTGGAGCTAGTGCTCTTGCCCTGTGCCACAGTTCACTCCAGGGCAGAGTAGGACAACCCAGTGGTTGCCACAGGCCCTCCTGCCCCAACGGCTCTCGGCTGCTGAGATTCTAGAAGTACACGGGAAGCCAGCTTTCCAATGGCTTCAGGGTTTGGGGTGGAAAAGAGGATTCAATAAGGACTCCCCAGTTGCCCCTATGCCCCTGCCCCTTAGCTCTGCAATGTTCCTTCTTTTATCTGCTGGATAAAGAGGTTCCTCTCATCTTCCGGAGTCCGCCCATTCTGAGCCCGCACGATACACGTGGGCCGGTGCAGGTTGAGCATGTATATCAAGTGCTGTTTCTCGTTTTTCAGCTCCTCTATTTGGGCCTTCAGCTCGGCGTTCACACTCTCCAGTTTCTCTGACTCCTGAGGGACAGTCCACAGACAGAGGCATTATGGAGGGAAGCAAGTGTCGGGGAGGTATGGGGGACCACCTGGAAACCTTGAGGCTCATCAAGCTGGGAGAGGTCTGCTGCGGGAAACCATCCTACCATAAAGATAGGCGGTCAGAACTGGATGGGGTGGTGTGTACCCTGGAGAGGCCTCTGAAATTGGGGGGCATGTGAGAAGAAGCTTGAGATTACTACTGAGCCAGGCTGCCATGCTTGCTGAAGCTGCTGTAGCACCAAGGGCTCAGGGAGGGTCGCTCCAGTCCACTGCCAAGGGCATCTGGGCCCCACAGGGACTGGGGAGCTGAGGAGAATTTCAAACTGGTGGTGTAGCGTTTTCTCTGAATTTCTGATCTCACCGAGATTCATATCCACAGCAGTGGCCTGCCTTGTCTGTGAACCCATGCTATACTCCTAGTGATTTTTTTGTGGGGTAATAGCCTGCCAGGGTGCTCAAAGTGCTGGATAGGTAGGAAGAAAGGAAGTGGGGTTCAGGCCCAGGCAGGAGCACAGTCTAAGTACTGTTTCCGGGTTACCAGAGCAAGCTAGAGAGGAGTAAAAACTTTTCTTAAGAGTCAATGTCAGTAGCAGGGTTTTATTGTTTTGCTTTATTTGGTAAAACTGGTGTGAATAAATTCTTCTTAGTCCGAAAGTCTATGCACTGCTGGGGGTATATGGACCAGTTTGTGCCATTTCCTGCACATGAATGTCAAAGGACAACTCCTGGAGATCGTAGGTTCTGGGCATCAATCCCAGGTGGCCAGGCTTGCATGGCCCCGGATACTTTAGTTTTTAAACCCATAAATCTTCATTCCATCTATACCCTCCATCATGTAACAGATTCACTCCTCCCTCTGCCTACAGCTGACATTTCTGCACCACCCACAACTCCCCTCTGCCAATGACACAAGGCTGATGAGGGCAGGTGTGGGCACTGAGCGGGGGAAGCTTGGCCAACACTCACTTTCTGCAGGCATTCCGTCTTCTCTTTCTTCTTGTTTCGACACTTGGCAGCTGCAATCTTATTTCTTTCCCGCCGCCTCCTTTTCCTTTCATCTTCTTCAGGGGCCACCTATAATACCCAAAAGTCACACATTTAAGCCACCATGAGCCAAAAATATCAAGGCTGCGGGGTTTTTTGGTCTGTTGCTTTTCGATTGTCTTTAACCACTTGTATGTGTATTTTGTATATCTATGTTTGTCTGTGTGTCTTTCTACCACATGCATTCATGGTGCCTACAGAGGCCAGGAGAGAACATTGGATCCCCAGGGCTGGAGTTACAGGTTGCTGTGAGCCAATGTAGATGCTAGGAATGGCATGCTGGGACCTCCAGTCTCCTGGAAGAGCAGGAAGTGCTCTTAACCACTGAGCCTTTTCTCCAGCCTCGTGACCTAGATTTTTGTTTCAACTCCCCACATGTGTGTGCACAGACTCTTGAGAATAAATAACAAAATCTACAATCAAAATTCTATTCATTAAAATAGAATTACATTTAAAATTAGTAAATTAAAATCTAACCTACATTAAAATGCATTTGGAGTTTGAAATAAGAATTTTAATCTTAAATTGATTCTCCAAATGGCATCTATCAACCATCCGATCAAGCAATAGGAAAATTATGAACATTTCTGTCTTTTTCAAGAGCATCAAGGCATACCCTTCCGATGAAGCCTGTGAGCTCCTAGAGAAGAGAGACGAGACCATTACTGGTACTAAAATTAGTAAGCCCACAGATAGATACTATTGGAGAGTAGGACACTGAACCACCTGTTGATTCAGCCAACAAATTACATTGATTTCCTGTGCCTCATTCTGAGTCAATACTGGGGCTCTCAGAGAACAGAGCCCTGTCCAGCTCTGGAGAGTATGGTCCTCCTTGGATGTCCATACAGATCTAAGTCTATGGACTGATGAGCAATGGCCACATACAGCCAATGAACTCTGCATAAGGCCACAGTCCAGCATGGTGGGCTGGCCAATGTCAGACCCTGTCAGCTTCAGGAGGCCACTCCTGACCTATTCCTAGTCTTCTGGGTCAGAAGATATGCTAACTGAGGATTGAGTTAGAGGTCTTGAAATGTAGAGAAGCAAAACTCAAGGGAGAACACTAGAGGAGGAGTTCCTATCTGGCCACAAACCCAGTAAATATAAGAAACACACACACACACACACACACACACACGCGCGCACACACACACACACACACACACACACACACACACGAGCTGTAGCTGCTCATTCACAGGTACACACTCTGCCTGCTCCTTCCTGTATTCTAGTCTTTATTCCATTATCTTCAGACAATAGAATTTAAGCTCTCCAAGGGCAGTGCTTGTGTTGACCCTTATCCCCAGCTTCAGCCTCCTGCACGTGGAATGTGTGTGATAAACGCATGCTGAAAGAAAGGACACGGGCTGGCAGAACCCACCTCTGCTTTTGTGACTGACATCTCCAGGGGTCTGTTGTTAATAGTCACTGACTCCAGCGCAGAAGACATCCGGTGGCAGAGGTGCTTGTTCTGGATGGCGAACCTCAGCTCTTCCTTGACAAAGGGTGTCAGGTTAGCAAAATCCTCAAATACCAGTGACCCAGGAGGTGAGAGGCAGGGGACGATGGCAGATGCGCTGACTTCTGAGGCAGAGACCTGTCCCGGATGTTGAAGCATCATTTTGCTGAAAGAAAAAATTTAAACCCAAACTGCTTCAGGGGTCCTGGGGCATGGGATCTGACCATACCAAAGTATAGCCCACCCCAGCATAAAGTCCCATCAGTCCCTGGGCTTCTGGTTTGTTTCCATTTCATGCCCATGTCTTACCCGTGTCTAGAGAAATGATAGGAATTAAGGGGAACGTATTACTGTAGTTTTGCTAAGTGGACACATTGCCAAACTGCCTCCTAAGTATTCATATGCATACCCAAAGACTAGTGCTATCCTCAACTTTGGTCAGCTTTTTTGTAGCAGAGATTTGCAACTGAGCAAAGTTCTGAGAGTAAGTGGTTGTTATACCTTCTCCCTCCCCTCTCTCTTACACACACACACACACACACACACACACACACACACACACACACACACACACGTTCTTGGCTCAGGAAACAACATGGGGGCTAAAAGGATGTAAGAGCAGGAAGATGGTGAGAGTGCTGGATGTGAGTGGAGCAGAGCTGTGGTTACCTGCAGAGGACCTGTGTGAAACAGCCCATCAGCACTCCAGCATGAGTTAGGGACGGTAGCTTGAGGGCCTGATCCTAACCCAGGAGCTATGAGCATGATCCCTGCTGGTGGAAGGGGTCACTTTATTCAGTAGTGTAGCCACAGGTTACATTGCTCATGTTCTAGTAATAATCCCACACCTGTGCTCAGGCAAGCAATGCTAATTACAGTCAACAGACCATCAAGAAGTTATTTTTTTTTTCATGCTATCCACGTTGTGAGTAAAACAGATTTTTAAAACATGCAGTTCAGAGTGACTAAAAGTTTAAGAGGGTTGATTTTCCAGCTCTTTTCCTAGTAGTCTGGCTGGTATACAGATTATACAAATGTGGCCTCAGCCCCCCAAAGAGAAAAAAACATTAAAAAACAAAAACTAGTGCCTTCTGGAATCCCATTTCTGGTCTCTTTTTCAAAAAGAAACTGGGAAGACACCTGAAATCAAGATAAATATGCTAGCCTGTGGAGGTTAAAGCAGGAAGTCGGGGGCCTTGAATTCCACAACTCTGTATGGACGTTTCTCCCGCAGGAAGCTGGACCTGGGAGTGGGAATGAGGAAGCAGAAGCTGGGTGTGTTTCTTCACCCCAATCCTTGGCAGAGGGTGGTAATGGCGGGAACTCTGGTCCTGCCAGAACAAGGAGCCCTTCTTAACCAGAAGGCTAGCAAAACAAAGGACCTCAGGGCAAGCTTAATCGAGAGGGAGATCTAGACTTCTGGGGGAGAGAGGCTTGGAGTAGGGGCAGAAGGGACCTGGGATGGGCCTGGTCATGAAGGAGCAGACCATTTAGCCCTGTGGGACTCAGTCTTCATCTGGAAATTGGCTAAGAACACCCCAAGCCAGCAAACCATTGCCGATGCTGTCCCAGAGCCGGGCTCAGCACTGGCCCATAATGCCTGCTTACTAGTTGAACAATTGATTAAACAAAGGAGGGGGTGAGGTGGCTGCACCAAATGGCCTCATCATTCTATAGGCCAGCAAACCCACAGGGATGACAAGGGAAAGTCAAGGGCACAGTGACCTGCTGTGGACTTACTGCTATGACTCCCACCCTTCTTGAAGCAGGAGCAGTAAGAAGATGACTGTATTTGCTTCACTGGTCATCAGCCACATCCCAAGGACAGGAAGCCTTCTGGCAAACCTAACATTAAGAGATGGATATCCTTTCTGTCCTGTCTCCTTTGGGCCTTGTGAGGGCCCAGTGCTATAAAACCTGGTCCCATTTCACACACGAGTTTTAGCTGAGATTTAGACCGATCACATTGACATGGCATAGTACTAGGTATGGGGATTTGTTTTGCTGGCTTCAGAACATGGCCTTAATTTATATACTGCATACCCAAATATTATACTTTGCTGAACAACAACAAGGAACAGCAAAAGTCTGGAGTGAAGCACGCGGGAACCCTGGGACAGAAGCAGTGCTGGCAGGGGGCTAAGCAACGATTTGCAGGGAATCCCTGAGCTCTGTTCAAGAAATTGCTAGTTTTTGTTTTTGGCTTTGTATATCAGGTGCACACTTCACTATTGCCTGCATCCAGGTGTAAGTTTAAATGGGCTGTTTTATTCATAAAATTCTCAAACCAGGGTTTAAAAACTTATCAAGATTTGAAGACCCCTCCCCCAGTAGCTTCTTTCTCCTACGAAAAGGTAGGCTGATAACAAGTACCCTGGTTCCCCAAGAGTGGTGGGAGGGGCTTAGGAAATAATTCAAGATGGTGCCCTGGAAAACACGATGACACCTGGAGCTACATTGGGTCTCCAAGGATCTCCCACAGAGGGCTGGCTGTTCTCCTGTGGAGACTCAGTGGGGTCTGTCTGGCCGCCACCTTTGATGTTATATGCTCCTTCCCAGGGTACCTGTCCCTGGAGCTCTAAGGCCTTGGAGAAATTCCAGTCCAGGGGAAGCTGGCCTCCACTAGTCAAAAGAACTCAAGAAATGCATACAATTCTCTCCCAAACTGAAGGTATTAGCTGAATCCTGTAATGGTGTGGCTGGGCACTGTTTCTCTGGCTTCTGAAGTCAGAGGCTTAACTTCCTCCCAAGCATCCTCATTTCCCCTTCCTTTCCAATTTTGCTCAAAACAAAACAACCAGTTAAAGGATGGAATTCAGAGCCACTACCGGCCTGGCCTTCCTGTGCATGACTTGATGGGTCATCTATACTTAGTCATTTGAACCACAGCAGTTGAGTTTGTCTATTTAGCCACCCAGCTAAGTTTTTTAATGAGCCCTTGGGGTTTAGAGTCTGATGTTTAGAGCCCCCCCCCCCATCCTTCTTAGTGTAAAGGCAGGAAGAAACTGAGGAATGTCGGTGGTATGGAATGCTTTTGTGAAAAGCTGGGGGCACAAGCATGTTGTAAAGCTGTTAAGAAAGCCTTTTGATGACCATATGGTTCCATCCTTAAAGATTTTGGAGTCAGCCTAGAGTCAGGCTGTGTCCTCCAGGGAAACGTCTAACACTTCAGCTTATTTTCAGGAGCTGAGGCCCAGAAACACACTCAGCATCCAAGAGAGGAGTGTCTGGGGGCTTTGGGTGAGCTAACTCTCTATACTGATCATAAAACTGTCTTCTGGATTTGCTTCAGGACTCAAATTCTGTTTCTGTTTCTGCTTCATGATGTTCAATGAGAAATTATGTCATATTGTTGGCAATTTCATCATTTTCAAGAAAGTGAAACTTCTCTAATTTATTTAACTGGAAATTCAACTCCTAGATTTTTATCTCCAAGTAGTTACTACGGCTTTGAAATTTCACTTTTGATTTGCACTTCCTTTCACTGAACCATCTGCAAACCAATCTGTAGTAGTTGGGAAAGGGTAGCCACCTTTCCCTGACTCTCCACACCCTGTTCTTTCTCCTGTTTGCAGGCTGGAGGTGCAAGGTTGGTCTTCAGGGTCAGTGACTGGCTCCCGCTCTGTCTGCTACTCACTAGCTGAGCACCCACTCAGGAGCCAGAGGCTTTCTGACCTTCAGTTCCTATCTGAAAATTGTGAATGAGATTGCCAACTCCCTCCCTGGGCTGTGGGGAAGAATACACCACACACATACTTGAAAACATAAGAGATCCATACCCACGAGCACACATTCTAATTCTACCTTCCCCCACGTCAGGGAAACAGATTTGGTTGTCAATTCAGTTTAGTTCTATTCATCAGCCATTGGCGGGAACTCTCAACAATTTCAGGTCAGTCTGCACTACAGTCCTGAGTTCCCAGGACACTGGGTGACTGCCACGCCATTCTGCTGACATCAGCACTTCTCCATTACCATTGCGTTCTTCAGAGATTGTGAGTTTTCACACAAGAAGCTATTTCTCTCTTGGAGTTTCTATAGTGCCATGGCTCCCTCCGTCCCTGGCTGAGTTAACCTTGAGCCAGTTCCTTAAGGAATCCCAGACTCTGGCTAAAGGTACCCAGCCTTAGAACTGTCTAGATCATTTAGTAAACTGAGGTCCAGGAGGGAAAACAACTAGCCTAAACTCACAGAGCTGGAGGGTGGTCTGGTCCACCCAAGCAGCTGAGAGCACCTTCTGCTCACTTTACATCAGTTCAAGAAAGCATCCAACCATAGGCAGAGCTGTCAGCCTGGTAGCAGCTGAGGCCTCATGAGTCCCATAACTGGACCCCTTCACCAGGAGGCTTTGACAGCAGGAAGGGGTCACAGAAGAAACATGTGTCTCCAGCTAATGGGCAACCTCTGAAATCTCAGATACAAACAACAGCAACCGCAGCCCCCAGGCAAGAGCCTGTGTGTGGTAATATTATCCCACAACAAATGCTACATACAAAACATGTGCTCTCTTGGTGACACATGACTGTAATCCCAGCGCTTGGGAACTGAGGCTGGAGGATTGCCATGAGTTTGAAAGGAAGCCTGGGTTACATAGGGAGACCTTGTCTCAAAAAAGCCAAACAAGGGAAGGGGGAGAATAAAAAGTTTAAATACTTGGGCAACTCCTTTAATTCATGAAAAAGCCTATGATCTACATAAAGAAATTAAGCAAAATAAAATGGCTAGGAGGAAAGTTAAAACATGGGAGTTGAAAATGAAAGTGGGGAACTGATCCACAGGAGACAGGTAGGAGGCAGGGATGCAGGGGGAAGCCTTTCCCGTCTCAGAGACACTGGCTGGGAGCCACCATATCAACTCAAGATCCCTTCCTGGCTCCTTTTAGTTCGGTTGTTTCACTCTAAAAACTGAAAATCTGTTAAAGCCTGGCCATATGAACCACACAGCACAGGGCTCTAGCACAGGTAGAGGGGTGCTGGGAATGGTGGACTGTAATCTCAGCACTTGGAAGACTGAGGCAGGAGGGTCACCAGGAGTCTGAGACAGTCTCAATAATACAAAACGACAAACCCCAAGACACACATGTACACACACACACACACACACAGAGAGAGAGAGAGAGAGAGAGAGAGAGAGAGAGAGAGAGAGAGAGAGAGAGAGAGAGAGAGAGGGAGAGAGAGACGCACGCACGTTCACTGGTTCCGCACCCTGCTCCCTCCATCGTTCGATCCGGTCCCCGCAGTTCTTCGACTACACAAAGCAAAACAAAAACAAAAACAAACCCCCCAGTACCGATTAAAAGAACGCCAGAATCACAGCAAGTCACAACAGCGAGAGAGGTTGGTGCTGAGGTCCCAAGCCCAGCTGCACGCCTGAAGTGGGTGCTGAGACCTCTCCGCAGTCCGCCCCGGGACAGCTCGCCGCCTCCAAACTAATTCCAACTCACTTTCGCTCACAGCTCCCTACACTGCCCTGCCGCCCAGAGCTCTGCTCCCGGGAGCGCGAGGCGACCTCCAGCGGCTGTGCCGGGACCTCGGACCGAGCGTTCCTTCCCCATTCATTTCGCTCAGTACCGGGGGCAGCGCCTCCACCAGCCGCGGCCACCGCGCTTCTCTGAGCGGACTTAAAACCCTCTCCGGCTCCGGCTCTGGTTCCGGCCCCGGCGTCCGGATACCAAGAGAGGGACGGAGTGTACTGCGATCCCGAGAATGCGGGTCACCCCCGCGCACCAGCACTCACCACCCACCCAGACGACCTCTCTAGCTTCAGTCTGAGAGCGCGCGATGCGATCTCCTCCGTCCCTGGGCATCTTTCACGACTCAAAAGAGAAAGTTCGTCTTTCGCTTTACTAGAAACTTTCCCCCAGCTCGGAGCGACTGCGGCAAGGAGCAGTTCAGCCGAGCGACTGTGGCGCGGGAGACTAGGACTCGAGTTCTGGGTGGCTCAGGGGTCCCGGGACTGGTCACCAGAGGGGAGATGAGAAGGGAAGAGCGGCTCTCCACCGCGAGACTCTAACGCTCACCTCCAATCTCCGCTCGGGGCGGCCAGGGTCCAGAGAGCGGCCAGAGGCGGGCGGTCTGTTCCGCCGGCGGGCGAGCACCAAGGACTCAGCCGGAGCGCGGGCTGACCGGTCGGCTCCGCGGGGGAAGCACCGTGCCCAGCGCGTCTCGCTGAGTGAGACTGTAGCTGAGAGCGCGTTGCATCACCCCTTTTATAGCCCTCGCGCTAGCAAGGCGCTAGTGTAACTCCAGGTTACCAAACCCAGGCTGACGTAATGCTATTAATAGCTTCCAGGGGGAACTGGCCAGAGGAGGGGTGGAGGAGGGCCGAGGGCGGGGCTAAAGGTGGGTGGAGACCTCTGAGTTCGTGATGCAAGTGCGAGAAGGGGCGGTCACCGAGCGTCTTGAGCGCCTCGCACGCCCGGGACACACACACACCCGCCCTCTCCATATCAGGCCCGGAGTCGCCCGGGCGCACCGCCAGTTGTGCGTATTCGTCGCTGCGTGTTCCAGGCATGAGCCAATAGTGCCCAAGCCAGCGGCATGACTCCACCGCCCTGGCATCTCTCCCTCCGCTAGGTTGGGGAAGGGGGGAGGGGTGCTCGGTAGGCGGGTCCTGGCAGGGGCCCAGACTAGGTGAGGCTGGGTAGCGGGCACGACCTTTCTCAAAAAATGCGTGGTCATTTTTCTAAAACTTCAGGAAGAAGCGCCTTCTCTGGCCATCGGCTTTGCTCAAGGAGGGCAGGGAAGGGGTAGAGGTAACAGTCTTCCTCGGGAAAGAGGTGCTCTAAGTTACCCTCTGGTGAATCCACACCGTTACCCGCCAGTGTGACCTCCGCCGCTAGCAACCGTGGATTAACTCAGTCTCAGTCTCCCAAGCTCGCGCCCCCCCCCCCCCAGGACCTTCGGACTCGCTAGGAACCGGAGCTGCTAGTGACAAGACGTTGTCAGTTTGGTTTTAGGTTTTTAATAACAACCACAGAACATTTGAAATGAACAGGGAATTCTCAGCGAAAGCAAGAGTATAAAAAGAAGAATGATCTGGAGGGATCAGTGGCCACCCAGCGGAGGGCTAAGCTGGGCTGGGAAAAGACGACTCGTCTCTGGGAGTCCTGGCTGGAGGATGCTTTGATCCCCATGAGCCCGGCCTTGGCGGAGGTAGGGGGCGGGGGTCCTCCTGGATGTCAGGAAGTATTTAGAGAAAAACCGTCTCCAGGGTTCTAGTGTCTGGAAGAACAGAGAGCTGTGCTGGGACCCGGCCGCCCGGACTGGACATGTACCGCTATGAGCCGGAACGTGGGGACTCTCTGTCCTAAAAATCTGCTGGCGGGAAAAATTGGACGTAGAGCTCAGCTCGAGTTTCAAGCCGAAGCCTCAGCAGAACTGGGTTTGAACCTTGAAAACAGTTTCCTGGTTCTGATCCAGTACTTCCAAAGTCTCGGCTGAGCGCAAAATCCCGGAGTTTCCATAGCTAACCAAGGGCTAGAAGTGTACACGAATGCGGCTCTGGGCTCGCACACCTGTCTGGGAGGCCTTCGGGCGCACATGTCAAGCAGGACTCCGGGGTGTAAAAACAGAGGCACCTGCTAACACCTGCCTTGGAGGGGAAGACGATCAGAGGGTCACAGTGGTAGTTTGGGGTAAGAAGCAGAGTTATCCATAGCACCTGCCACCTGGATTGTTACGGTAGTAAGGGAAGGTCTCAGTCTCTCTCTTACACACACACACACACACACACACACACACACACACACACACACACAGAGACAGAGAGAGAGAGAGACAGAGAGAGAGAGAGAGGCATTACACCCTAAGGAACTGATGTTCCTTGAGGCAGACACTTCGGGCAGAATCAAATTCTCTGCACCCGGGTTCCTTCAGCCCAAGACAGCCTCACCCTTCACAGGCCCCTGTCCTCCAGGGAGGCCCCCTGAAGTCCCGCCCTCGCCAGCCCGGGGAAGCCTGAGGTAGTTCTATCCCGGGGATCCTCGCAGATCCTGCCAGGATCTGACGCGATTGCAGTAGCGTTGCGCGGGAAGCGCCGGGCCGGTGTTTTGCTTTGGTTTTTGCCTTGGTAACGGCTCTCCGGGCCACACCCTCTATCTCCCACGCCCATACTCTGCTCCACACCTCCACGGCCCGCCCTTCTGCCGACCTGCAGACAGGTAAACCCCGGGCGTGTCGGCACAACCCCGAAGAATGCAATGTGCCTAGGAATGAAAGCCATTTGTGGTCTCCACTTCTCTGTCCGGTCTCGTACAGGCTGTCCCGAAATAAACAGCACCACTGCACAGTGCCACTGTGAACCCCTACAGACATCCTTAACTGTTGGATTAAACTGCGGCTCCATTAATACCCGAGCCAGACCTGTGGCGGTCGGTCCTGTCCTCAAGGTGAAGGCTAAGCCCAGGGTCTTGAGAACCCAAGCAGCAAGGCCAGAAGTCCTCAGAACGTCGAAGGCACCTTGTCATTCCCGTGGTGCCCCCACCCCACCCCCGTCTTTCTGCTATTCTAATCATTAGCTTTCCATCTCCAAACAGCACCTGGGTAGAAACGCTCTGTATTGTTTACAGGACTCCGAGTCTGCCATCCTCCGCCTCCCTCTCCTTCTGAAACCCTAAAGGCGATAAGAATCTTCAGAGAGAAATCCGCTTCCCACTCCCAACTTGAAAGAAATTCCTATCCCAGGCAAACAAACGCCACTTTCTGCCTGCCTCGGTCGCCTTGGCTCCTGCGAAGACTCGTGGGCAGCTGAGAAAAACTTAAAGGGAGAGCCCCCAAGCTCTGGGCCAAAGGAAGTAGTCACTATCTGAGTGCCCTCGTGCCTCGGTTTACCCTGATTTAACGCCACTAGTGTCTAGCGCCACGCAGAGGGGCAAGAAAAACTCAAATCGCTTCCCCACACCCAAATTGCTTCCCGACACAAAGGCACAGGAATGTCTCTCCAGCAGTAAACCGTAGCTATCGTGCTTTCAGGGGTTAATCCCCAGTCAAAGAGGGTTACTCATAAATTTGAATGTTGTGGAGGTTTTTTTGCCAGAGAACCGCCCCGGGGAGCCCGTATGCAGATCAGCTCCGGTCTGTTTTGCTGAGTGAGATAAGAATTGGAGATTTCTTGCTGGGGCATGTACCCAAGGAAGAGGGAAAAATTAAAAGGGGAGGGGAAAAAGCCAGGCAGCTAAAAACAGTCCCCTCGTGGCAACCAAAACTAAACACAAAAACACTGCAAAGAGCCAAAAGCAAAAACAGAAAAGTTCAGAGATATTTAAAGGTTTTTGCAGTTGAGTGGGCGATTCTGTCCCACATTCCTCTGCCTCCCTGACTGTGTTCTTCCGATGGCGAGGCTGTATTTGCTCAGAACTCTGGAAACGAGATGGTGCATCCAGGGCCACTTGAGTTGACCGTCCAGCCTGATTGTGCACGGATTTTGATCACCTTGGGAAGGCAGAAGGGTGGTTTTTCTCCCCAGCCGGTGCTCTTGCCCAAGTTGAATGTGGGAACTACTAATTTAAGTTCCTTGACGTGCATCTCATGAAAAGAGCCTGAGCACACAGTGGGCGCTGGAGTGTGGGAGGCCCTGACTGGATGGCGGATGTTGCACTTAGTGCCTGTGTCCCCCTGGGTCCTCTCTCATTTTATCCTCGCTCATTTCATCCTCAGATTTAAGTGTTTCCCTCGCTGAAGGAAAAAAAGTGACCCACTTGAAATGAGGTACACAGTCTATAACTGTGGAACAGGAAGGCTTTCTGGGGTACCCTCTGTTTCCTTCATCAGAGAGAAGTTGAGGACATTATCTGGCAACACCTAGGATGGCAATCATGAGAGTGGCTGGGATGAGACCCCTCCCCCCAAAGCAACAGGAGTAAATCTTGTTCTCCACCCACAACTAATGAGACACTGGTGCTGGATGATGTTGGTAAAGCTGGGGATTCCAAAAGCCTTCTAATTTTGTCATGTTCTACTCTTGAGAAAGGTAGGCCCTCCTTCAGGGTTTTCCCTTTTTTGTTATGGAGGTCCCTGGACTGGACTAGAAGGGTCCTGAATGCAGACTGTCTTCCCCAAACCCACCCAACTGCTTTGTAGACTTTTGAGAGCTGAAAGAGCTAGCTAGCTCCAGGGAAAGCTATCACATGGAACAGTGACTAACTCATTTTGCAGTCACATTTCTCCAGAAACTATGGCCGAGATGTGCTGTCAGATTTGGTTCTCAGACACAGCCTGTCCTCTCTTTTCTGCTTTACTCTCAACATTTTAACTTAACAAAAACTTAACTCATATGGGTACCCAGCCAGAGGGGAACTCACCATAGCACCAAAGGCAGGGATTGCATCTTTTGAGGAGATCTTGTATATAGACATGAACTTTGGACCACAGGGCCAAATCTAGGTAGTAGCTATTCACATTTTAGAGAACAGATCCTAGGACTCTAGGAATCTGAGATGAAGTCACAGACGCTCCAGTGTTAGCAGGACACAGTAAGTCTGAGAATTGCCCACAGGTTGACCTCTAGCAACTGGGTGACTTTGTAAGTCATAAACATACTACCTCAGTTTGCCAGTCCATGAAATAATTATCCAAAGTTAATGTCCCTTTAAGCACTGATATAAAAATCAGATGATATAACAGATGTGAAAGTGAGGTGAAAATAGTTTTAAAAATATATATGACAGGTTTATAGCTGGACATGGAAGTACATGCTTGTCATCCCAACACATGTGGGACTGAGAGAGAGAAGGCTGAGAGTTTGAGACCACCTTGGGATGTATAGATAGCAGCTGGAGGCCAGCCTAGGCTCCACAGCAGGATTCTGTCTCAAAAGGCAAAAGCAAGCTTTTATTACAATAATACTTTGCCATTATGAGGATTAGGCAAAAGGCAAGAGAGAAAGTTACCTGTAATCTCAGACTATCATTATTTCGTCGTATCTTTACAGCTTTTTCTCCCTCATACACATGATTTTATATTTGTAACCTTTGGACCTCCTCTTTTGCTTATCACCAGATCATGCATGGTGTTTATCGCCATTATTTTTTCCTCTTAAAAATATGTTCCATTTTATTGCAAGACAGAGCACATATTCTGATGTTTTGTAGGTAGTATATGAAACATATGTAGATTAAAATAATAAAATATACTGAGGATTGCCACCCTGTTTAAAACTGTCAC